AATGATCAACATGCTTGTACGTTATCGTTTGGAACATTTTACTTGAATTACTGCTCAGAATCGCTTGTAATTCACTGCATTCTGAGGTGGTTTCTGGCCTAATCAGAAATTCAAGGAATTCTAAAACTTCTCAGAGAAGCATAACTTTTTCAAGTGGAACTTCACACGACAAGTCGAAGTCGTCTGATTAGCTCACGTCCTAAACCACCATTCAGATAAGCTATACATCAGAGAGCAACTCTGAGAATCTAAATGATTCTGAAGTAATTTCATAATCCACTGAAGAGTTTGCCTAATCCAGCCACCCACCACTCGTACCATTTGAAGACGTAAATAAAGAGTGTGTAGAGTTTAGGTGATTGCATTCGTTGTTGGCTATGGATTCACGTTTGCGGATTTTTCACTGTGGAGTGGATATGACGAAGAGACGCATCAACCCAGATTTATGCCGTACGGTCTGAACGGTCTGTTGGCTGGTGCGGCCAGCTGTTTTTTCGCATATATTGGTTTCGATGGACTTGCGACAGCTGGAGAAGAAGCCTCCGGTACGACAGACACCTCCTCATATAGCAAATTGTTTGAGTGCTCACTTGAAGCTTTTGCAGAAACTGAAATTCTGTCGTAACAGATTGGATGAGTCTCGGAAATACACAGGCGATAAGGATGAAAATTTTGAGAGTAAACGGGAGAGTTTTAGCAGGCGAAATGAAAGTTCTGTGGATGAATTTGTACGAAGTTGACATCGGGTATTGAAAGCGAATAGTCCGATTCAACCGCATAGGGGAATATGGGTTTTTGAGTGCGGATATCTTCGGATATCCCCTTGTTCAGATGAGATATCCTTATGAAGTTGATCCATCTCAGATCCATCTCGCGCTATACCGGTCGCAACGTTCATATCGATGTCGATCGTGACAGCCGCATACATTCTGATGTCCGCAGCGCTCACATTGATGGTTCCATTCAGACAGGTAGGTAGATGGTGATCACCATTCATTTGGGATCATTGATTAAGCCTATTAATTGCCAGTATTTTCATCAATTGTTATCGCGTTTTATCAGCTGATAATGAATTGAGCTGATATCGAATTCGATGTTTATTTTAATGATCCCTTCGGAAATGTTTGAGTTGTCTGGCTTCAGGTTAATCCAACCGCTGCGTTTTCGGATGCGTTCGCCAGCCGTGGAGCTGAATGGGCCAAATATATCGTTTCGATTGGTGCCATGTCAGGAATGACGACAAGTTTGGTCTGTGTGTGATTCACTACTGATTTCGTCAATAATTTTATTCTGCAGAATGTTTGAAAACTCAGTTCTCTCATTGTCTTCTGTTCAATGTGCTGTGTTAGATATTATAAGGCATATTGAAAAATGGTACGTATAACCATAAAGTTCTGAAAGCCCAACGGGAAAACTGTGTGAATTTCCATTGAAAGTTTTGAAAATTCGAAAATTTTACGACTTTTGCTGGAAAAAATAGTTCAAATTTTTGAAAAAAGTTGATTTCAGGTCGGCTCGATGTTCGCTCTACCACGTTGTGTTTATGCGATGGCCGAAGATGGTCTTCTGTATTCGACATTTTCACAGATTAGCGATAAGACGCAGGTAGGTACTGACCAGGTGGGGAGGGGGCGAGATTGTTTGAATACTGAAACTATTGATCATTGCCCAGACCTTATCTGAATTGAGAGGAACCAGAAAGATAACGAACGCAATTTTGCTTTCTTTATTCTTATAGTAAAAATTTTTGAATATCCACTGAAAAACGAAATGGCCACAGGAGAATAATACTGCGGATTTCGCTAATAAACAACCATCATCAATGTTTCGGGCATTTGTTTACAATAACATTAGATAACATTATCGAAACAAAGGATTAATAGTGTACAAGCAAAAAGGGATAAGGGATAGGGTGATTCATGCAAGAAGTACTACAAAAGTTCTATTTCATCATACGAATCAATAAGGCAGTATAGGGCGATTATACGAGCTCAAAGGGATAAGATGGATAAGATGATGATCCTATAGTACATACCAGTGTTGCATTTCATCATGTGTATCTTATATCCCTATATATCCGTATGGATTTATCATATCTTAACGTAAACAGCTAATGTACAAAGCAAAAGGTTAATTCCTAGAGCACTTTTGTTCAGAGATCATTTTTGCCTTCTGACGAATCGTGTTGTTTTCGATCCGATGCGACAATTTTGATAATAATCATGAAGACATTACCGAAACTTCAGGTTCCCATCAACGCAGTCGTAGTGTTCGGAGCAGCCACTTCAATAATAGCATTACTATTCGATATTGAAACTCTAGTGGAATTCCTCTCGATCGGCACCCTTTTGGCATATACAATTGTGTCTGCGTGTGTCATTGTCCTCAGATACCGATACGAACCGTCCGAAGAGGGAGGCATCAGTGAGGGAAATGGTAATACTCATAGCCGCACTGATACCGATTATGATATGTCAGTGGTTTTCATGGGGAATGAAATTACCCATTTTGGGTAATTTGGAGGTGTGAAGGGATAGTGGAGAAGATCGGGAAAGTAGTATTTCGTGCAGTTGTTGTGTTATGATCTATGATTAATATGTTATGATCTATGTAATGAATTGAGCACCCGAACGTGAGAACCACTGTAATATGTGTAGCAATTAAGTGAAGTTAGGTTTATTGATAATAATTATGATCTATAATTAATTTCAGGTGGTCGTATCAGAAAGTGGGTACCGTTTCAAAGCTGGTTGACTATACCACAACCAGGAATTCTGGTGACATGGAGTGTTTTCATGATGATAATCGGCGATGTTGGGATGAGTATCATCTTCGCGAGTGGCTCTTTGAGATATTCGTATGGCATCGTTTGTGCGGTGCTGTTCGGGTTGATCGCTGGACTAGCGTTCATCTTGATCTGTCTTCATCATCAGAATAATGCACAGATCGATTTCAAGGTGTGTTTTGTCACTATCATATCACTTGATCACTCCTGCTAGTTTTGTTATCATAATAATGATGATTACCTGGATTGGTCAGGCTATCAAACCAGGTTTGTAACGTTGCTGGCCACAATGCTCGTTGGCCAGGTTGTCAATGTTTGCAACGTTGCTGGCCACAATGCTCGCATTTCCGTGCGCATTGTTTTAGCCTCAATTTACGCCACCCCGCTGGCTAGGCGAGCAGGCCAACCGAACACAACCGAGTAATTAGTTTTAGCCTCAATTTACGCCACCCCGCTGGCTAGGCGAGCAGGCCAAGCGAACACAACCGAGTAATTAATTAGTTGAGAGCCGTGAATCCTCAATTTACGCCACCCCGCTGGCTAGGCGAGCAGGCCAACTGAACACAACCGAGTAATTAATTAGTTGTGCCGCCGCTGGCTAGGCGAGCAGGCCAACCGAACACAACCGAGTAATTAATTGTTCACCGTGAATACTTTGCATAATTAAACGCAGTCAAATACCAATTCAATAAATAATCATTACCCTAATAAAATAAATATTCCGCTGATCGCTCACAGCGATTGACGAAACAACCATTCGATGTCCAAGTAATAATTAATGATTAATAGCAATAATAATGATGATATTATTGTTATTATTATGACTGTTGTTCTTAATGCTTTTATCGTTGTTCTTGTTATAGTCATTATTACTTTCATTTTTGTTGTTATCAATCTGATTTCCGTAGTTTTCACGAAAAATTATAGTGAAACTTCCTGTTTTCGCAACTTGTCACGATTTCCGTAATATTCCCTCATAATTTTATACTTTCCACAAATAAACCATTTTTAAAATGCAAATACCGAACCGTTTAGCTTATTGTATGTTCAATACGGAATTTGAGAATTCGACCGACCATCGTGTTATTATGATTAGAATTATTATTGTTACTGACAGCAATACCGTGGAAATGATTATAGGTACCGTTGGTGCCATTGGTTCCTTCAGTGAGCATTCTCGTGAATGTGCTATTGATGATGCATCTGGCTCCAGTTACATGGCTACGTCTCATCATATGGCTTCTTATTGGTATGGAGAATGTTTCGTTCCTTCATAAAACCTTTATAAAACTGGTCGTTTCGATTATGATTATAATCAGATTCTGATCTTCCATATAGCCGATTGTTTCTTTAATTCATCATAAGCCGAAGTTTATTTTGTCTGTACTATTTAATTGTTCTCAAAGAATCGCACGCACTCAAAAAATTATGTAATTTGCTCAAATTCGTAAAAACTTTTCAGGATTTGCCATCTATGGAACATATGGAATCAAGCACAGCCGTGAAGAACTATCGATGACTTCCGAGGATTTACCGAAAAGTCGCACTTACGAAAGCGTGATCAGTGACAGTACACAATAGGAGGAAGGAAGGACAGGCTGAATGATATTGGTAAAAATGGATGGAAGCACATCTCAGAAACATTTTTATCGTTTGTCCATCGGAATGAACACAAAATAATTAATCTAAAACTTCATGTTGTGCTTGTGATCCTACTATATAATAAAGATCCTTCTGAATGGTATCGTGATTCCTTTGGGAATAACTATGAATTCCCTAATGTAATTTCCTATAAATGCTATAATATTGTGACTGTATCTTTGAATTTCATCCATATCTATCAAAACATGTTTTAAATTATTATTCTTACTTTCATCATTTCTTACGAGTATCGTCTGTGAGCTGTACTCTCTCGTTTCTCGTATTACTGTTCGTGTCCTTTACCAGTTGTATTCTGATTTCAAATTCTGATAAAGATCTCTTCTTTCGAAGTTTTTAGATGTTCCGCATTCAATACACCGAATTATTACTGTTTAGAGAATCGTCAGGAAGATGCGTCGGCATTGAGATGTGGATTTGGCACAATAGAATGTGATCGCTCAGCAATGAGATAGATATATGACATAGCTTGAGGAATTCATGATTCTTTCATCGTTATTAGTTAACTTCACCAGTAATCTAGCTGTATCTCGGAAACTAAGCAAAATCCCTTGATAAATGCATACTTTTCCGGATATGAGAATCTGATCACTCGTTTGATTTATAGAAGTCATTTTGCTCCTGATGAATAAACCTGCGGCGATGTTTTGCTTGAAGTTTCTGCTATTTATAATCCAATATTACCTAATTTACAGTAGTCCCACTGACTCTGTGACCATCCTTGCATTAATCGCACTCAAATGTTTGAATTTTGATCTCCAGAGGTCATTTCTTCAGTGCAGACCTTTTGAAATTGGACGGTTTTGTATTTTTCATGATCCGAATCTTCGGGCTAAGCCTATCGGTACCGAACCGCAACACGACCCTGACGATAAAGTGGAATCTCCCAATATGATACTACACCGAACAACTCGGTACCTTTCTACGATAAATTATTAGGTGTTGCAGGAGGTTCCCGGGCGGAAAGCTTCCGATACTTTAATATACCCCAATTTATAAACTTGTTGAGTTGATTCTCCATATCTGTTCAATATATGAAACAATTAGTTTACAAATCACAACCAGAGATCTATCATATTTCATAAATCACCTCGAATGCTGTCATCGTACACATATCGATCGATGTAACTGTATTTATTGAATAAAGCTTGCTACAAAGTCAAATCAGACATA